GTTCGCTTAGGGCGTAAATTTTGGTTCGCTTAGGGCGTAAATTTGGTCTCGCTCCGGGCGTAAATTTGGTCTTGCTTAGGGCGTAAAGTTGTTCCATAGGCACTGTGGCAGGCGCAGCGCAAGAGCGAACAAGTAATACCGGATGCCAAAGGGCAACTCAGCATATAGTGTCTCGTTCACTTCATTCTGTGCTCCTCGTGTCTCGTTGAGTTCATTGTCTGATTAGTTGACTTGATATACGGCGCATCTAAATGCAACTCAGCTGGGTGTGCTTCGGTGTGCAACAACATATAAACCCTAAAGGTGTCGTGGCCCTTCTTACATTAAGGGCAACAACATATAAACCCTAAAGGTGCCGTGGCCCTTCTTACATTAAGTGCAATAACATATAAACCCTAAAGGTGTCGTGGCTCTTCTTACATTAAGTGCGACAACATATATATATACCCTAAAGGTGTCGTGGCTATTCTTACATTAAGTGCAACAACATATAAACCCTAAAGGTGTCATGGGCCTTCTGACATTAAGTGCAACAACATATAAACCCTAAAGGTGTCGTGGCTCTTCTTACATTAAGTGCAACAACATATAAACCCTAAAGGTGTCGTGGCCCTTCTTACATTAAGTGCAACAACATATATATACCCTAAAGGTGTCGTGGCTCTTCTTACATTAAGTGCAACAACATATAAACCCTAAAGGTGTCATGGCTCTTCTTACATTAAGTGCAGCAACATATAAACCCTAAAGGTACCGTGGCCCTTCTTACATTAAGTGCAATAACATATAAACCCTAAAGGTGTCGTGTGGCCCTTCTTACATTAAAACATTGTTCAGAAATAAAATCCACATGTCCCTACATGAGGGTACTGGGTTTTAGCATTTCTAGTTGGCCCCAAGCGTAAATTGAAGGATCATATTTGCCAACATGGTTCAAACATATAAAATTCACATCTCCCTACATGAGAGTACTGGGTTTGGATATTTTCTAGTTGGCCCCAAACTTAAATAAACTTAATATTTGTCAACCCCAATCCATTTTTCATCATTTTTTATCCCACCCAAGAGTCATCATAATTAGCTCAAAATAATTCGTTCTCACCACGTCAAAATATAAAATGGCCAGAGTTGTTTTTTTAATGTTTTTTATAGGTGTCCTGAAATTCTGCGAAAAGGGGTTCAAAAAGACCAATTTAGGACCTCATGTTTGACTCATTTTTTGTGGATGGCTTTAGCACTACCTAAGCAATCACTGAAACACTTAAAAGAAACACCCTTTATAATATAATTAATATGGCCCTGTGCCCTTTGTGATCTTTATGGTGATTGACGGATGCAAGATGAATTCCAAAGCACACATGTTGAAAACAATCCTTAATATGAAAATCAAGGTTACGTGTAAAAATTTGGATTCCAGACTCCAGACCTAATTTACGTAAATATGTACGTAAATTCGTCTATTTACGAAAATCTGGCCAAAATGTAAATAAATTTACATAAATCTAGCCAATTTTTGAGACTCTGGGTTTGACGGTTTCTCAGTTTCACTGCGCAGTTGCATATGCGGCTCAATGAGCCGCCTATCAAACTGCAACCTTCAAAACTTTTATATAAAGATGTTTACCCAGCCTTCTGCATTCTCTTACGCCCATTGGGCCTCAAGGTGAAAAGATATGGGTATGTTTCAAGATATGGGGATGTTTCAAGACGCAATTTTAAAGACGAAAAAGGGGACCAAACCTGGCATTGTGGGAGCCAAAAAGGACACATTATGTTGATACATACCCATATGTGACATATAATCAAATCAGAAACTTGGCTGAAAATAAAATTAAATATAGTTTCAAATATGTCTTGAATGTTTACTTAGACAATTATTATATTATTGGTATGAGGTGCCAAACACTGAGCCCCCCTTCCATCGCAGAGACTGGAAAACCTAAGGCCATACAACTGCCTATCTCAGATCTTTTTTGAGAGATGTAGAGATATGTATGCATGTGTATGCATGTGTAGGGATGTGTAGGGATGTGTAGCCATGTGTAGCCATGTGTAAAACCAAAAAAACTAAGGTTTTACACATGTAAAACATGTGTAAAACAAAACCAAAACTGGAGTTACACATGCGTAGACATGTGTAGATATATTCTTAAAAAAAAACATGTTTCAGAATCGATTCAGGCATTGAATCTTCAAGTAGTTCGTTCTTGTTTGTCGGAATGTGTAAATACCCTGAGTCTCGAAAATTAGTAAATTTACTTAGGCAAGAATTTACGTATTTTTTTGGTTACTCTTGGCTCAATAAATAAAGACAATACCCATTTAATTTACATTTACTAATAAATGCTTTTTCTTTAAATTATAACCTAAATTCTATTCACTTAAAACCTTAAATTAAAAAGACACATTTTTTAAAACATATTTTGTTTTTCCACCATGAACATGTGGTGATTGTAAAATGAGCACATGAGAATGTTGATTGTTCAGATCAACATGTATGTGCAGAATCTTTTTCGAGTCATTTGTGTCATGCACACTTGCGAGATGTTTTCCATGCGCTTGTGTGCATGCACTGAACATGTTGTGTATCGATCACCGTTGCGTTTTCGCTTGTCTGCGCGCCTGCAATGTACATGTGTTGTAACCTTGTGCCTATTCACCTCTGTGTTTCACTTTCTTGTGTGGTTGCAATTTACCTGAGTGGTGTATACTTGTGTCAGCTCACCTCTGCGTAAATTGTGGTTTTCATATTCAGGTGATTTGTGTTTGTCGGCCAAGATGCCTATGGCGGCGCTAGCACAAACATGTTACGGGTCACCTCTGACTTATTTACATGTTGTTACCTGGGAGGTTTTATCTACTATATGAGAAATCCACAAACATGAACATGTCTACCTGAGACCTATTTGGGTATTGTTGTTTGTGAGGTTCTGTAGCAAGAACTATGTTCACTGTCACCAGCGCTGCAACTTCAATCCTATTGTGGGTTTAGTTCTGAAACCTTTTTGAAATTTGAATGCTGTGCAATTTCAAAACCCAAAGGATAAGAAACAACCGAAGATATAGCTGACACGTGTATAAGTGCAAAAATCCACTATCACTATATGAATTTTCCCAAGTAAGTTCAGATAAATTGGCAGCCTATGAAGGGGATGAGTCAAACCACCCACTATGCAGATCATCTCAAGTGTATTTCATCCAAACACTTTTAATTTTGATTTACTGTTGAACCTTTGTTTGGCCAAAAACGCCTTGAATGTTGAGATTTTGGGCCAAATTTGCATCCTTGATATAATGTAGTTATCTTTCTTCTTGGATGAAATTAGATCCAAAGATTGGACTGATTTAAACAGAAAATGATCAAAAATCAGTACATGTTACATATGCAGTTTATATGTGTTTATTTTTTATGCAGTTAAAAACTACATGTTGTTTCATCAAAACTGCATATAAATAAAGTACATGTAGTTTTGGAAACTGTATTAAAAACTGCATACAAACTGCATACATATTTTTACCAAGATCCTCTCAGAAACATGCTGTTTCTAAAACAATTTGGCCAGGCAGGATTAATAGACTAATTTGGATCAAGAAGTCCGGATCACATGCCGTGTATGCCCCTGCCAAAGCAGGGACAGATCCTGCGGTGATACCAAATGGTACACAAAAGGATATGTGAACCCACAAGTCCTGCAAACTCGGCCTAGACAGCAACGTCAGTTCAAGGAACCAAAAGTCAAGTGCAGCTGCTCTCCAGTTTTCGCAGTGGAGAAACAATTTGGAAAGACAAGTGGCTACTTTTCGGGAAAAGTAGCTACTTTTCGAGAAAAGTGGTTACTTTTCAACTTTTCGAGAAAAGTGTCTACTTTTCGACTTTTCGATTTTTCGGCTTTTCTACTTTTCGGGTTTTCGGGCTCCGCCCCTAAGAATCAACAGCTACTTTTCGACTTTTCGCTTTTTCGCGTCTGCCCCGAACCACCCCAAACCAGAAAAGTACGGAGCAACACCCCTAACCCCCACAGCCACAACTCAGCATATTGGGCCGTAGGGTCATGTGGAACACCAAAGTCAACAGGGGCACTGACGGTCTCAGTTTGTGGCCATTTCACAGGTTTGGGGCATGGCCAGGTGAACCTTTCAAGTTGGGCAACACCACCAACAAACTGGGCAATCAAAACTGAGTGATCAGCAAAGACTTCATGATCAATGCGCAAGTCCAAAAATCCAAGAGCCAATTCCGGGGAAACCCAAAGATGGTCTTTGCGGGACACCCCTTTACAGGTGAATTCAGGTGGGCGTCCAGTGCGGGAAAACTGCAAGTCTTGGATCTCAACCCACCCAGCAGCCCGAAGCTTAGGAACGACAGCAAGGGTATCGACGGAGAAATTCCAATCCCCTGCAAGGAATCGAGGGCCGGGTTGGGCCATCATGCGCTCAAAGGCAAAATCCAAAATGGCTTCAGTCTTCGGGAGAGCCTGGGGGTGATTACGGCCTTCAGGATAACCGTAAATCACTGCCCCCGAAATCCATGCAGCTGGCGTATAGAATGCAGCACACTGAATACGGCCTGTAGCGAAAAGGTCGTCAGGCCATGGTGCAGCAATCGTCCTGCAGGGGAACGATGATGCGAAGGCTACTCCGGACCAAGCGCCTGCATCGGATGCAGTTGATCTGGGAGCAGTGGACGCTCCAGTGAGCAGGTGCTTGAAATGGGATCTGTTGGTTCGGAAACTCAGTGAAAGATTACGCTTGGCAATCTTGGACAAATGTGTCTCGCTAACGGCCATGACGTCCGCATCCAGGTTACCCAAAACATGGTGTTTTCCCTGCAGCCCTGAGGGGTTGCAAATCCCCAACTTCCATGTGTCAGGCCCTGGGACTTGGGCCTCCCCAATGCGAAACGACGACAAAATCAAAAGAAACATCAAAATTGCCCTGAAGGGATTGACAAATCCCGGGGTCACCCTGGCAGTGGGCTTGGCAGCAGGGCCCCCTCGCCTTCACTCGGTACGAGGCTTCTTGGCCAAGATGGTTTCAATTCTGGCCATCTGGTCAGTGAGCATGCATTGCATCTGTTGGGTCTGGAGATCAAGCTGGACCTTCATCTGTTGCTGGAGCGACTGCACCTGGGCTGTGCTCTGTTGATGGTGTTCCTGCACGGTGCTCTCGAGGCTTGTCTGGCGGTTGGCAAGCTGTTGGAACTGGGATTCCAGCGCCTGAAGTCGTTGATCCTGGTCATCGACTTCCATACGATCAGTGGCAGGCATCTTGGCCAAAATGGTCTTCTCGATGCGCTGTTCCAGTTCCTGGAGCACATGTGGAGCAGGAGGTCCAACTGGTGTTGGCGTGACTTGCTGAACTGCTTTGGACCAGGGGTCACTTGTCAACCAAGGGTCGGCTGCAAGTCCATCTGCGGGGCGGCACAACTCCAACGTTTTGGCATTTCCAACTGTGGCACTGTCCACCTCAGGCATTGCGGGCTTGGTGTCGGGGCATGTGATCACTACTTGGCCATGCTGCATGGTCAGCACATTCTGCGGAGGCTCCTGGACAGCTTGAACACTCCACATCAATCCTCCAGACACATGTTGGATCGGCTGTAAAGGCCGGCATTCCCATCCACTGGCTTTCAAAAACTTGGCTATGCTTTTCCGATCACATCCAAAGGGCCATGGACCACTGTGAAACGTCAGGCGGTTGCCTGGGGCCAAGTAGACAGCATCAGGTTTGGCACTGGTGAAAACCCTTTGGAAATGCTGAACATGAACTCGAAGGCCGAGTCTCTTTCCAGAACGGGCAATTCCAAGGCAATCAACTTCACACTTGGCTTTGTGGGCAACAGCACTAAAATCCATCTGTGGAAGCCAAACTACCTGGAAGTCTTCATGAGGCCGGAGAGCATCTTCAGTTTTGGGCTCCACAAACACCCCATGAGATCCACTGGCGCACAGAACCTTTGTTTCAAGGGCTTTCACGTACCTGATCATCACAGAAAAATGGGTAGCTTTGTCCCATTTAACAGCTCGGCCTGTGTCGTTGAAGAACTGCCTGCGGAATACATCAAGCACTGCATCATGTGAGCTGTCTGGTTCAGGATGCCAGCCTGGGCACTGGCAGTCAGGGCTGTTACGACAGGTCTGCAGACAGGACAAGACCGACAAGACATGTTTGACAGGTCTGGCAGCGAAGTCTTCCCATTTGCCCTCCCACTGATCTTGAAAGACCAAAACTCTGGCACATGCGACCTCGACAGACAAAATGGACGGGGTGTCTTTGGCTCGGTACTGGTAGGCAACAGTGCGGCCAAGTTGAACCAAATGACCAGTGATCAGCATAGGTTCCTGATTCATGCTACACCTTGCAGCAAACCGCACAGTCGACCACTGCAAGCTCGTCTGAAAGTCCGCAGGGGCATGCAAAACCAACAACGCAAGGCTCTTTTGGGTCAACAATTGTCCCGCCTGAAGAAAGGGCACAGCATCTTGAAAAGTGGCCAAAATGACACCACTGGCAAGAGGGCCAATGGAAGCAAACGGCACCTGGCACAAGGGTTCGTCATCACCAGCACAAAAAGCACCTGGGGCAATAATCAACTTGGACGGGTCAAGTTCAGCAGGCTTCGAGGGAGCAAACTTACCAGGCTGTTGGGCCTTCTTGGGCTTGCTAGCAGGTCTCTTGGCACTATGCTGAGCTTGCTCGTCAGGAAGAACCATCTGCAAAGGCGGCTGTTGCATGTTTGCTAGTGCTTTCAACGATTTCCAGGGAGCAACCCCATGCAAGGCTTGTTGGACTTCTTGCTTTCCCAAGGCTTGGACAACCAACTTGGCACGCAAAGTGGCCTGCGCTTGGGGTACTCCGTGGCTTTGCAGGAGTTCAGAGGCCAACCCAATGACATCCTGAGTGCCAAGACCCCAACACCATGGCTTGGGCAATGCAACAGCTGCACGGCATGACTCAGCAAAACTAGCTTTGAGGTCTTGATGCAATGCTGCCAGGGCAGTTTCGGATGCAGGCAAATCATGGCCGAGGAGGCGGTGGGAAACGAATGCCACCGCAGACGCTCCACAATAGCCTCTGGCATATGAGCGACGTGTGCAAGCAAGGGCAAACATCGGCTTGCCAAATGCAGTGCAAAGCAGTCCATGCAATGGATTGAGGCAATCAATGTCAACATCTGCATGCTCCCACATGGCGACTTGGATTTCACAAATACCGACTGACCAGACAACCGGCATCCAATGGTCTTGGACAGAAACAACGGTGACAATGCATGTGGTATCTGGAACAAGTTGGAGCCACTCTTGAACCTTGCAAACCGTACCACACTGTAACCATCCAACAGCCAGCAAAGTATCAAGAAAGCGAGTGCCAGGCCTACCACTCAACTGAATGCAAGCACGAAGGTGCAGTGAGACTTCATCATCTCCCATGGCACGCCCTTCATTGGCCAAAATGGCAAGACGTGTGTTGGCAGGAGCCACTGCTTGACGATACCTCTCACATGTACTGACTTCTGTCACAAGTGGGGGGAGAAGTGCTGCAAGTTGATAACCAGTCAAATGACGGAGACTCAACAAGGTGTCCATGACAGGGCCAGCATGATCAGAGACAGGAACAGCAACGGTGGGAGGACCAGAAACCGAAGCAAATCCACCAGACGCCACTCCAGACGAGTCCACACCAGTCATAGGGCCACCAACATCAGACGGACCAGAAGGGTTGTCGACAGGCAAGTCCATGGGAACACTGACATCCTGATCTCCAAAGTCCAAAGGAATGGGAATCGAAGACACAGCAACAGGGACATGATCCGTGGATGACGCAGCAGCAGTGTGTCGGGCACCTCGAACCAAGATGTTGAGTCCAGCAGCTTTGGCATAGTAGTCCAGAGTCTGACCTGTTGCAGCATCAATCCAATGGTCAGAAGTGGCATCCTGAGACAGAGCAAGTTCGGCTTGAAACAGTTCAATCACCGTAGTGTCTGAACGGACCTGAACCCGGACAGTGGTGCCATCAGGATAAGTCAACATGGTCCAGTCCACAGGCACGTTCGGTGTCACCAAACTAGGAAACAGGTCCCGGGCACATGTCAAGAGCCGTGTCTTGAAATCACTGAGGCAAGTGGTAGGATCCAATGGGGGCAAATCCATCATGACTCGAAGATGTTGTGCAATGCAGGCTCCAATCCAAACAGATTGTAATGGGGATGCAAGTTGACCAACAGCGCACAAGCAGAGCCTTCAAAGAAGGTCTGTCAGGACCCATCCAAGCCTCAGGTGGTGGCATGCCGTTGAGCAGGGCAAGCTCGCATGGGTGCAAATGACGAAAAACCACTGAGCCATCACTCACCGGGATCTGAACAAGCTGTGCATACAAACCCTTCTGACGGATGAGCTGGTCACTAAACTCCGGTCTGCAGCCACACGGGCAGGCATCGGCTTGACATCCACTGGAGTGCAAACTGGTCGGCAGCTTACCATCTAATTGGACATGGTACTTGCGGAGAGTGGAACCATCGAGGGTGAAACGTGAAACTTCATGGTCCGACAAAATTAACTCAGCAAGAACCTCTTGTGGCCATGGTTTGATGAATGGCATGATGTCACGGATGTTGAGGCTTGGATGCTTGGGCCATTCAGGCAAGGCAATGGGACCAATGCTCGGATGCGTGGCAACAAGCCACCAGCGAAATCGGCGAGTGCACCAATTATCTTCCAACCTCAAACAAACTTCATTCAGACTATAGCCCAACTGCGATTCAAGTTGCTGCAAACATGCACGAACAAACTGGTTGGTCCTGGCTTGGGTGACATTCTCAATCAACAAGACCGGCACTTGCAAAAGATGGCATGCAGTCACAGTGGCCGGAACAGTCCCAGAACGTTCATCCCCGGAGCCACCCTGGGAACCAGCAGACGAGTATGGCTGGCAAGAGAAACCTGCCATCATAGAGAATGGAGGTTCAACGGTCTGAGCCAGCTCTTTCAAACAAGACATGTCGGCGATATCACCATGGATGATTGGAATTCCAGGATGACAAGAACGGTGAACTTCCACCAAAGGGGCACGCCACTCAACTGACCCAACATGACGAAATCCAGCAGCAGCAAGTCCAACACTGGAGCAAGCAGCACCCGAGCAGATCTCAACACACCGCATGATGGCATCCACAGGGCTCAAACCATGGGCTATCACAACCGACAGGTCAGTGAGGAGCAGTTCAATCCTGGCACCACCTTTAGCATAGACCACATCAAACATTGTCAATCTGTGGCAACCACGCACACCATTGTTGACAGCACCGACAACTTTGACTGGGCGACCGTCAGGCAGGGAGGTTCCAACCAGCATCCCATTGGTGTAAAAACATCCATCCAGAACCAGTGAAATTTTTGATCCCACTTCCAGCTTATCCCAGTTAGGGTTGAGAATCCCCACAGTCGAACCAGGTGTGTCCCAAGAAGTCATTGCAAAACGAAACGCCCGAGTTTAGTATGAACGACCAACCTCTGGTAGGTACTCGAGCCAGCCTGTTCCAAACCACCAACCAGTATAATGTAATTATATGTCTAATTCCTAAGTTGTGTATCTTTTTTGGTCGTCCACCCATTTATGTCAGGATGGCTCAAATTTGGAAAGCCAAAACTGCACGGTTTGCCATAAAATGTGTCGTCTCCCATTTGGAGACAAACATATATGGAGAGTTGTGGTGCGTTTTATTGTCGTATTTTTTTTTCAAAGCATCCACAGCTGTTTTTACAGCGCTTGCGCAAGATTCTACAGACCTCAACTTGTTCTGCTGCTTGGTCGGCTACGTTTGGCCACCACAAGATGAGGGATCTAACCAACTTCGTCATCTGTAGATCTTAACCATTCTTACCCTCTGGTAAACCTTAACAAAAAACTATGGAAAGATCCACCATTTTTCATGGGAAAATTCACTACTTCGACTGGGCAATTTTCAAGTTCGCAAACTGTTAGTTTACCAGAGGGTAACCAGTATTCCATTCTTAACCAGTATTTAAGGAACTCAGCTGGAAACTGTGCGAAGCAACGGTTTCAGCAATGGATAGATCTTGTTTTTTTTTGGATCTGTGCTACAAAAACAAGGGATGACATGTAGCCCACTTCATTGCCAATCATGTATCATCATTTCAGTATCATACAACTACAGATTGATCATTTCACATCTTTCATGTATTTGAGCAAATTATATTAGTTCCCCAAATCAAATATGTATTCCCCAAAATATTATATAGATATTCGCCACAACCACTGGTTTAGTATTGGATATATTCATTTTGGAGTCACTAATCTGGACGGTATCCAATATGAGGGGCAAGGTTGTTGTGAGTTCATGATATCTTTCGGTTGCAACGGTTGCAGTCAGTAGTTTGTTTGAACATAATCAATGGGAAATCCAGGATCCTAAAATGTAGGTACTGTACCATATAAGGCCATATTTTGTGGGGATATCCCCTTACATAGGCCTTACATAGGCCTTATATATGCTAGGTACCTCCAATTTAGGATCCTGAAATGGCCATTGATATGGTACCCTTTGATGGTTTTTTGTATCATTTCTCCCTCAAGAAAGTAGCGGGAAAATATTGGGGTATCCAGCATTTTGAGAGACACCCAAGTGACACATTTTGTCAGACATACCATCTGGTTATGACGTTTACATAGCTATGGAAAATCACCATTTTTAATAGGTAAACCCAGGTAAACCATCTATTTCTATGGGCCATTTCCCATGGCTATGTTAAATAACCGGAGGGTAAATCCCAGTATACCCCCAGCCATTACATTCCTACTGTGATTGCTGCTATACCCTATTCTTGATTGCAAGATATTCCATTCACCAGTTAGAGGATCATCCCACTTAGTAGCTGGTTTTTAACTAAGCCTCGCTGGTCCCGATTGCTTATCCCATCTCGGGGTGAACCACCAAGTATTATATCATGACTATCCCATAATACCATCACTATATAGCCATTATTTACCATGTGATCCCATATTCTCTCCTTGTTTGCATTTTCGAAATACGTATATATATATATATATATTCATATGTATATATATATATGCAAACATATATAATCCCTTCCTCCTAATACTAAACCCCCCCCCTAATACAAAACACGGCAAGTAGTTTTTAGTATTAGGGGTGTATTTATTATTAGGGAACCAAAATATTGCCAAAAATGGCAGTTCGAAGCTTACCCCTAATACTAAATTAAAACCCTTAATACTAAAAACCATTTTTTCCGATCTCAAAATCAATTAAATTTCCTTATATAACGCAATTAAAATATTGCCAAAAATGGCAGTTCGAAGCTTACCCCTAATACTAAATTAAAACCCTTAATACTAAAAACAATTTTTTCCGATCTCAAAATCAATTAAATTTCCTTATATAACGCAATTAAAATATTGCCAAAAATGGCAGTTCGAAGCTTACCCCTAATTGCTAGAGTAGCCAGGCAGCTTGGAGTGAGGGATTGGGACTAGGCCCCCCTAATACTAAACACCCCGGGGTGAACTAGTTTTTAGTATTAGGGGGAGAACCCACAAATGGTAGGTTGATTTTTAAATTGTTTTTTAAAGGGGATCAATTAAAAGTCAAATTGGCCAAACTGAAATTTTCGGAAATTGGAGATGGATGCCTGTTTTTAGTATTAGGGGAACGTTTAGTATTAGGAGGAAGGGATTACATATATAATTATATATATATATACATATATATATATGTATATATTCATATTATATACGCGGTGTTCCCAAAATAGGGATATCCCCAACTCATCCATCTTGACAGGATACCAGCACCTCTACGATGAACTTTGGAAGCCGCGGCCGAGCTCAAAGTGACGTCCTCACGCGAGAACCGAAACAGATAGGAAACTGATGATTCAACCATCAAAAATTGGGGTTGCATGGGATTTTGAGCTGATTTATGATAGAAAAGTTGGTGCAAATAACTGCAATAACTTGGTTTATGTCACTTACAGTATAACTAATGATAGCTAAATTGGTGCAAATAACTCCAATAACTACTTTGGCCTATGATACGCAAATAACTATAGCTAGTGGGATGTAGATGTGGAAAATGTCCTGCAAAAAAATGGGCCCCCAGTCGAGCTCGCGTTCAGTTGCCGAACAGAAAAGTGGCTGAATTCTATGGTTTATGGTAGATATAACGAACTAGTTAATGGGTTTTTTCATGATTTATAAACCAACGTTCACATCACTGGGAGGCCCCATCCTGTATGGTTTATCATAGTTAATGGATATAACTAATGGGTTCTAACCTAGTCTGTGTGGCTTAGTTCACCCCAGTGGATTACGTGAATTCACCCTACTCCCACATAAATCACAGGGAACCTTTGCCAGAAAAACGAAGTGGGATGAGCCACCAAGGATACCCTAGGGCAAATTCACATACCATGGGCTATTTAACAGTTCGCCATGGAAAACCCTTATAACTTATAAATGGAGGTTTTAATGAGAAAATCATCTATAAATGAGCCATCTATACCATGGCTATGTTAAATAACCAGAGGGTAGATGTGGAAAACCCTAGGACAAGCGAAATACCCAGAGAGCTTCAGCCAGGTTCCCTGAAAGAAACCTTTTTGGAACATGTTTAAGTGTTTATGGATAGGGCTAATCTTAACCACCAACAACCATTGGTTGATGGTTTATCAACCATCTAATATTAGGGCCGACCCGTAGGGGGGGTTAATTCATCACCATATAGATGTTATAACCAATCATAAATGGTAACATTAAATATTATTGGTTTGTAACGTTGAAGATTAAATGGAATAATCAAAGGAAGTTTAGGGGGAGAAACTTCCGTGTTACGGACTTTTAGAATGTCAGGGAAAGAGTTAGTCAAAGAAAGAGTTAGTGAGGGAAAGAGTTAGTCAAAGAAAGAGTTAGTCAAAGAAACAGTTAGTCAGGGAAAGAGTTAGTCAAAGAAAGAGTTAGCAGGGAAAGAGTTAGTCAAAGAAAGAGTTAGTGAGGGAAAGAGTTAGTCAAAGAAGGAGAGGGAAAGAGTTAGTCAAAGAAAGAGTTAGTCAAAGAAACAGTTAGTCAGGGAAAGAGTTAGTCAAAGAAAGAGTTAGTGAGGGAAAGAGTTAGTCAAAGAAAGAGTTAGTCAAAGAAACAGTTAGTCAGGGAAAGAGTTAGTCAAAGAAAGAGTTAGTGAGGGAAAGAGTTAGTCAAAGAAAGAGTTAGTCAAAGAAAGAGTTAGTCAAAGAAAGAGTTAGTGAGGGAAAGAGTTAGTCAAAGAAAGAGTTAGTGAGGGAAAGAGTTAGTCAAAGAAAGAGTTAGTCAGGAAAGAGTTAGTCAAAGAAAGAGCAGAAAGAGTTAGTCAAAGAAACAGTTAGTCAGGGAAAGAGTTAGTCAAAGAAAGAGTTAGTGAGGAAAAGAGTTAGTCAAAGAAAGAGTTAGTGAGGGAAAGAGTTAGTCAAAGAAAGAGTTAGCAAAGAAACAGTTAGTCAGGGAAAGAGTTAGTCAAAGAAAGAGTTAGTGAGGGAAAGAGTTAGTCAAAGAAAGAGTTAGTCAAAGAAAGAGTTAGTCAAAGAAAGAGTTAGTGAGGGAAAGAGTTAGTCAAAGAAAGAGTTAGTGAGGGAAAGGGTTAGTCAAAGAAAGAGTTAGTCAAAGAAAGAGTTAGTCAAAGAAAGAGCAAAGAAAGAGTTAGTAAAGAAAGAGTTCGTTAGGGAACGAGTTAGTCAAAGAAATTGTTCCCTCACTGTAAATGGGATTGCAAGTGGTGCTGGTGGAGGAGTTGCCGATGGAGTTTTGAAGGAAGTCTCGCACGAAATGCGTTTTTGAGAGATAGCAGATGCACGAAAGCCTATATGTTTTTCCATACAAAGTCCGTCCCCGAACCTCGATGATCTACCTCTGCGGTGCGACGGTTGCGAGACGGTCTCGTGTGTGGTCGGATCATTCTCGGATCATGCTCGGATCATTCTCAGATCGGTTCCGCATTGTAAATGGGGTGTCACCTGTGTTTCGTGCATTTGTGGTCGACAGAATTCCATTGTGATTTGCAACTGTAGGATCGTTCCCGCATTGTAAATGGGGTTGCAAGTGGTGCTGGTGGATGAGTTGCTGATGGAATTGCATTGTGATTTGCAACTCTAGGATCGTTCCCCTACTGTAAAATCATTGCAAGTGGTGCTGGTGGAGGAGTTGCCGATGGAGTTTGGAAGGAAGTCTCGCACGAAATGCGTTTTTGAGAGATAGCAGATGCACGAAAGCCTATGTTTTTCCATACAAAGTCCGTCCCAGAACCTCGATGATCTACCTCTGCGGTGCGACGGTTGCGAGACGGTCTCGTGTGTGGTCGGATCATTCTCGGATCATGCTCGGATCATTCTCGGATCGGTTCCGCATTGTAAATGGGGTGTCACCTGTGTTTCGTGTGGTCGACAGAATTCCATTGTGATTTGCAACTGTAGGATCGTTCCCGCAATGTAAATGGGATTGCAAGTGGTGCTGGTGGATGAGTTGCCGATGAAATTCCATTGTGATTTGCAACTCTAGGATCGTTCCCTCACTGTAAATGGCATTGCAAGTGGTGCTGGTGGAGGAGTTGCCGATGGAGTTTTGGAGGAAGTCTCGCACGAAATGCGTTTTTGAGAGATAGCAGATGCACGAAACCCTGTGTTTTTCCATACAAAGTCCGTCCCCGAACGTCGATGATCTACCTCTGCGGTGCGACGTGTGCGAGACGGTCTCGTGTGTGGTCAGATCATGGTCGGATATTCTCGGATCATTCTCGGATCGGTTCCGCATTGTAAATGGGGTGTCACCTGTGTTTCGTGCATTTGTGGTCGACAGAATTCCATTGTGATTTGCAACTGTAGGATCGTTCCCGCATTGTAAATGGGGTTGCAAGTGGTGCTGGTGGATGAGTTGCCGATTGAATTCCATTGTGATTTGCAACTCTAGGATCGTTCCCTCACTGTAAATGGGATTGCAAGTGGTGCTGGTGGAGGAGTTGCCGATGGAGTTTTGAAGGAAGTCTCGCACGAAATGCGTTTTTGGCGCTAGTGATTTTCCTTCTAAAAATATTTTTAAAAAGTGCTTCAAAATCGTCTTTTTTTCGCTCTGGCGTCGAGATCCGGTTTTGGAGCTACAATTTCCGACGCCGTTGCCCGTAGTTCTATCGTGTTTTGCAACTCAGTCTCCGCAGATCGCATTGTAATGGCTGCGTCAAGGTTGCTTCATGCTGTGGCTGCATGCGTAATACTATTGTCTTTTGCAGCTGGACTTCGTAAATCGTATTGGAGTGGCTGCATGAAGGCTGCAACAGTGATTTGTCAGCAGATTTTCTCCATTTTGGCGCTAGTGATTTTCCTTCTAAAAATATTTTTAAAAAGTGCTTCAAAATCGTCGTTTTTTCGCTCTGGCGTCGAGATCCGGTTTTGGAGCTACAATTTCCGACGCCATTGCGCGTAGTTCTCTTGTGTTTTGCAACTCACCTCCGCAGATCGCATTGGAATGGCTGCAATCAAGGAGTTTTGAAGGAAGTCTCGCACGAAATGCGTTTTTGGCGCTGTGATTTTCCTTCTAAAAATCCTTTTAAAAAGTGCTTCAAAATCGTCTTTTTTTCGCTTTGGCGTCGAGAAGTCTCCGCAGATCGCATTGGAATGGCTGCGTCAAGGTTGCTTCTTGCTTTGGCTGCATGCGTAATGTCTTTTGCAGCTGGATCTCGTACATCGTCTTGGACTGGCTGCATGAAGGCTGCGAAATGGATTTGTTAGCAGATTTTCTCCATTTTGGCGCTAGTGATTTTCCTTCTAAAAATCCTTTTAAAAAGTGCTTCAAAATCGTCTTTTTTTCGCTCTGGCGTCGAGATCCGGTTTTGGAGCTACAATTTCCGACGCCATTGCGCGTAGTTCTCTTGTGTTTTGCAACTCAGTCTCCGCAGATCGCATTGGAATGGCTGCGTCAAGGTTGCTTCTTGCTTTGGCTGCATGCGTAATGTCTTTTGCAGCTGGATCTCGTACATCGTCTTGGACTGGCTGCATGAAGGCTGCGAAATGGATTTGTTAGCAGATTTTCTCCATTTTGGCGCTAGTGTTTTTTTGTTGCACGTAGGTTTAGAGCAGTGTGAAGTGTGGGGCGTGAAGAGTGCAGTGTGAAGTGTGCAGTGTGAAGGAAGCAGTGAGAAGTGAGAAGTGCGAAGTGTGGAGTGTGAAGTTTAAGTTTGGAGTGCGAAGAGCGCAGTGTGAAGTGTGAAGTGTGAAGTGTGAGGTTTGGAGTGTGAAGGAAGCAGTGAGAAGTGTGAAGTGTGGACTGTGAAGTGTGAAAGTGTGAAGTGTGAAGTGTGAGGTTTGGAGTGTGAAGGAAGCAGTGAGAAGTGTGAAGTGTGGACTGTGAAGTGTGAAGTGTGAGTGAAGTGTGGAGTGTGAAGTGCGAAGTGAGAAGTGTGAAGTGGAGTGTGAAGGTGCAGTGAGAAGTGAGAAGTTTGGAGTGTGAAGGAAGCAGTGAGAAGTGAGAAGTGTGAAGTGAGAAGTGCGAAGAGCGCAGTGTGAAGTGTGAAGTGTGAAGTGTGAGGTGGAGTGTGAAGGAAGCAGTGAGAAGTGAGAAGTGTGAAGTGTGAGTGAAGTGTGGAGTGTGAAGTGCGAAGTGAGTGAAGTTTGGAGTGTGAAGTTTGGAGTGGGAAGGAAGCAGTGAGAAGTGAGAAGTGTGAAGTGTGGACTGTGAAGTGTGGAGTGTGAAGTGCGAAGTGAAGTGTGAAGTTTGGAGTGTGAAGGAAGCAGTGAGAAGTGAGAAGTGTGAAGTGAGAAGTGTGAAGTGTGGATGTGGAGTGTGAAGTGTGAAGTGTGAAGTGCGAAGTGAGAAGTGTGGACTGTGAAGTGTGAAGTGTGAAGTGTGGACTGTGAAGTGTGAAGTGTGAAGTGTGGACTGTGAAGTGTGAAGTGTGCAGTGTGAAGTGTGAAGTGTGAGGTTTGGAGTGTGAAGGAAGCAGTGAGAAGTGAGAAGTGTGGAGTGTGAAGTGTGGAGTGTGAAGTTTGAAGTTTGGAGTGCGAAGAGTGCAGTGTGCAGTGTGAGGTGTGGAGTGTCGAGGGAAGGACACGGTCGGGACAGGTTGTCTTTGAACTATAGGTCATTTATGTTTGGGAAACTTCCGCCGCCGGCTTGCCCGGGTCTATGTTAAAATATGAATAGTATAAACCAATAAATAAGCAATGGCTGTTTCAAGTACCGAAATTGGAGGTACCTAACATATATCAGGCCTATTGTGGTACAGTATATAAAGTATATACCTCTATTTTAGAGTCCTGAATTTTCCATTAATTTAATTTATCCGATAATAAATGGTATAATAAACTCTGATATATAATTGATAATGACTAATAACATAATAAATGGTATAACAAATAGGTGCGCTTATAAGAAAGTTGTATATCCCATTTAGTTCATAACCCATCTAGCAATTATGGCTATTACTGAATTTAGTTTATTAGTGTGGTTATTACCTAAGATCCTAATCACAAACACAATATAGTTACTGTATGTTCGGTTGGTAATAGCAATAATAGCAAATAATTTTCATAGTTAATGTGGTAATAACCATCGATAATTCACATATGGTTGTGGGTTATTTACCAACTGGCTGTGGTTGTTACCAACTTAAGATGAATCACCCAATATCATGAAAAATATTAGTCAGTTAGGCTTATCATTCCCAATATATGGAAAAATAAAAATTATGTTCCAAATCACCAACCAGAATATGAATTTTCCAATGTTAATCACCCTTGATGTCGATGGTGATATCGTGGTTCTCCTTGGTGACAACACCGTGAAAAATGAAACATGACTGGTGATGAAGATCCAGGGCAGGAAGGAGCACCAAAACGTCCCAATGTCCAAAAAAGGATGAGAAATTAAGCAGCGAAAATGCCAGCGGACTCATTGAAAATTCGAGGAATTTACGACAAGTTTTTCTGCTTTATAGTGGATAATACATTAAATATTATCTGGTTGGTGGTTGACCTACTCCTCTGAAAAATGATGGAGTTCGTCAAATGGGAAGGATGACATCCCATATATGAAATGGAAAAATAAAAAATGTTCCAAATCACCAACCAGTATTAATTCGATGAAATCGACAGGTTTTTCTGTTTTTTTTCTAGCAATAGCTAGATGGGATAACACCAAAAAACTCGCAACCGATGGGCTCCTATCCAAATTTCCGGATTTTATCATCGAAAAAGGGTGATGCATGCAACTAAAATGGAGGTTTTACTATAACGGGAGGGTACTTGGCGATTCATTTCACTTAGGTTTTAATCCGAGTTATAAGTGGATGAACCCTACTTATCCCACATAAATGGGTTGATAACATGTTAAAGCCCACTTACCCTCTGGTAAACGTTTACACATAATGGAAAGATCCACCATTTTCAATGGGTAAATCCACTATTTCTATGGCCATTTTCAATAGCAAAATGTAAATGTTTACCAGAGGGTAATTGCTGCATGGGATGAACCTGATGAACTTCACCCCGACTACAAGCAGTCAAACAACCCATCAACGTTTGCGACACCCCCCGCGACACCCCGCGACGTGACAGCCCCAGTTCTCCTCGTCGCTCAGTTGCAAGGCATCTGTCAAGAGTTCTCCGATGGCGTCGACGATGACCTGAAGAAACGGCTGTTGAGTGGGAAAAATGTGGACCCAATTGAGATGAAAGTGAACAAATATGAACAAATGGTGAGATAATAGAGAAAATTACTTTACTTCGTGTGATCCCCACCATGACATTTATACATTTTGTTACTGGCAAATCGTCTGGCATTCTATCTGACATATTTTCTGGCATTCGATCTGGCATTCTATCTGGCATATCTTCTGGCATTCTACCTGGCATATCTTCTGGCAGATGTTCTGGCATATCTTCTGGCAGATGTTCTGGCATATCTTCTGGCATATGTTCTGTCATATCTTCTGGCACTCCATCTGGCATTCTATCTGGCATATCTTCTGGCATATTATCTCGCAAATCTTCTGGCATTCCATCTGGCATTCTATCTAGCATATCTTCTGGCATCTTATCTGGCAAATCTGCTGGCATTCTATCTGGCAAACATTCTGGCACTTTATCTGGCATATCTTCTGGCATTCTAGCTGACATTCTATCTGGCATTCTATCTGGCATACCTTCTGGCATTCTATCTGGCATATCTTCTAACATTCTATCTGGCATATCTTCTAACATTCTATCTGGCATATCTTCTGGCACTCTATGTGGCATATCTTTTGGCGTGGATACTCGCGGTTGAGGTCCGGCAGGGAACACTGGGCGTGGATGGTCGTGGTTGAGGTCCGGCAGGGAACACTGGGCGGGGATACTCGCGGTTGATGTCCGGGGAACACTGGGCGTGGATGGTCGTGGTTGAGGTCCGGCAGGGAACACTGGGCGTGGATGGTCGTGGTTGAGGTCCGGCAGGGAACACTGGGCGTGGATGGTCGTGGTTGAGGTCCGGCAGGGACACTGGGCGTGGATGGTCGTGGTTGAGGTCCGACAGAGAACACTGTGGATCGCGAGTCGCAGTTGAGCAGGAGGACGAGGAGGACAACGAGAGGAGGAGGACAACGAGAGGAGGAGGAGAGGAGGAGAGGAGGCAGGCAGGAGGAGAAGGCAACTTAGATAAAATCTAACAACCCTCACCTGGCAGGTGGGGAAAAACGAGGTTTGAGGCAGGTCTTAAAATATGTCTTACAAACAAAACTATAGATATTAGATTCAATATGTCTTCGTCCATCCAAACAACACTGTGTTTAAGTGGATACATCTGGGTAAATTATAATATTTCACTAACCTGAATCTTGCGGCCATTTGGGGATGATTCCCCTTACTAACCATGATTCCAGTGAGGTCGCAGTGAGGTCGTTATAATTTAGCCAAATTTAGCCAGATGGTAAACAAAGACGTCTGACTAAAGCTGAAAGCCACCTGATCCCCTCCCCCTCCTCCCAGATCCTCCTAGTGCCGCCAAGGCGCCGTGCTTTCTCCTGCCACTTCATCCACCATCGACACCGCTACGACGCAGCGGGACGTAGGGGACGAGACGAAGAACAGAAAGACCCGCGCCTGTCGTAGCGTAGCTTTGAAGGGCGGAAAAAGCGAACAAATGCCATGGCCCATTTACCCTCTGGTAAACTAACATAACTATGGAAAATCACCAGTTTCAACAGGTAAATCCACTATTGAATATGGCCATTTTCAATAGCTATGTTAAATTACCAGAGGGTATAGATTGTAGATATCTATATAGATTATTTACATCTTCAAGATTCTATTTTCCACATTTATACAGGGTGGTGCCCCCATAGTGACATAGTGATGTGAACATTGGTTGATAAACCTCTTTGTACTAGTTCGATATATCTACCATAAATCCGGATTATTTACATCTTCAAGATTCTATGTTGCATAGCTACAAGGTGGTGCCCCAGTTCGTTAGCTAAGTTGGTGCAAATAAGTCCCATTTCACTATGGTTTATGGCAGATATAACTATAGTATTCATGGGGATTATAAAGCCACTTATAACTGGGGGGCACCATCCTGTACCCATAGCTGTGTCATCAAAGGTGGCAGTGGGAAATCTCAATTTTTTCTGGAGTTTATAGGTGATATATCTATAGTATTCATGGGGATTATAAACTAATTTATAGCTGGGGGGCACCACCTTGTATGCTAAATTACCAGATAATTGGATGACTGATGACTGTGCGACTGGGTCCCACTCAATTCGTAGCTCCCGGCCTGGCTCCAAAAAAAAAGTCCCATGGCGGATCCCCACACTACTTGGTAAGAATCCAGGACAAACTCTCCAATCAAGAACTTCTGGTAGATTATATTTTTTCATAGATATATGATATATGATATATGATGTATCATGTATATATGTATAGATAGAGAGATGATATGATATGTATTTATATATATATATATATATATCTTTGATACATATAGAGAGAGAGAGAGCGTCCGACTTTCACAAATATATAATCCCATCTGTTTTCCGGGAAATCCAAAGCCTTAAGTCTTTCTCAAACAAGCGTTTCTTCATCGTTGTGACTGGAGGCTTCAATCATGAATCCCAACGCTTCACTGGTTCCCTCCCCGGCTCGGCGGGATTGGGTTGGTTCAAGGGATGACAAATCATGGAGAAGAAAGGATCATACTTGGTGGTTCATCCCACTTAGTAACTTAGTAAGTAGGTTATAACACCAGTGATTTGCATGGGATAAGTAGGGTTAATCCACTTATAACTGTGGTTACAACCTACTTACTAAGTGGGATGAGCCACCAAGTAAGCTATGACCATGTTTTTGATGAAAAATATGCTTAATCACATTTATATAATCACCATAGTGTATGATCATACTTTGAAAAAATCAAGGGGTGAAAAGGATCATACTTTAGCATCCATGTTTTTTTTACCACACGAATCGCATTCTTCGTGACTTCCAGTGCAATGACTTGAATGGCGGATCCACTGTGTCCCTTGATCTGGTAATCGACCCGTTTTCACTAAGGCCTGCTTGCTGGGAAGAAATCTGACTAAGCCTGAAAAGAAAAAGGATCAGCTGGTTTGATCTTTGCAAGTTTGAATACTTTTCAAATGCTTCCACTCTCAAAACCATGGGATATACATAGTCTTTGGATCTGTTGGGCTCTTGTTTGCCCATTGAGCAAGAATAAGCATGAACAAGCTATATATCCTCTGGTAAACTAACATAGCTATTGCAAATTGTCATTTTATAGTTGATTTACCTTTTGAAAATAGTGGTTTTCCATAGCTATGTTAGTTTACCAGAGGGTATCCCAAATACCGATAATTCACTTCAGGCTTATTGGATTGTAATCCAGGCTGACAGCTTCCAGCTTTGTTCAATCTGACCATCTGCGAACTGGGGAAATAGAGGGCCCAAACGTATTTCCAGCACAGTAACGATGATGTTTTTTTCCCATCATTTCCAGGTTCCCAACACTTTCAACATCTTTCAACCACTATGGCAGGGCTTTGCCATACACATTCAACTACTGGAGATCACCGTTCAGAAATATGAAACCATCACCATCCCCAACATGGCCCTCGCTCCCCGCCAACGGCATGGAGAAGCCTCGGCTCAGGGCGGTTAAATCGTTGGGGTCCGGCATTTTTGGCCGTGCTGGTCATTTTCAGAATGTACACATATTTACAAGGTGGTGCCCCAGTTCGTTAGCTAAGTTGGTGCAAATAAGTCCCATAACTATGGTTTATGGCAGATATAACGAACTAGTATTCATGGGGTTTATAAAGCCACTTATAACTGGGGGGCACCATCCTGTGTATGTGTAAATCTACATACATATCTTGTACATATGATTGTATATTATACACATACACAGACTATACAATTATAAACATATATTCATATATTCACTGTATGTGTTTTATTCACTGTATATACGCTATATTAACAGCTAAACACACATAGAATTCGCTGAAATTCGACTAAAAAACCTGTTCTATCTTTTACAGACGATTTACTTACTGTATTAAAAATAGGACAATTTTCCACAGCACAGCATGAAAAAAAACCGAGGAGAAACCATTGCTATCTGGAATTGATGATCCCGTTGCGCTGGCGCTGATTTTTTATGGCCTCTTCAACGTCAACGCTAAAGAGATAGCTAAGTTGGTTCATAACTCCAATAACTTTGGTTTATGATACTTATAACTATCTGGTTGGTGGTGCACCTACCACTCTGAAAAATATGAATTCGTCAGTTGGGATGATGACATTCCCAACATATGGAAAGTCATAAAATTCATGCATGTTCCAAACCACCAACCAGTATATAATGTGGTTAAAACAATAATAAACAATCCCCCAGTCATCACCATAAATAGGTGCTATAAACCATTCCCAAATGGGTGGTTTAAGACATTGTTTGAACCACATTATACCATAAACATCCCGGCGGAAGCGTTACCGGCGTGCGAAAATGATCAAAATTACTACGTCCTCACAGCGAGGAGCCAGTTTTTGCATTCAAAACCTATCAAAAAAAAAGGTCCGTCTACTTTGGGAGTGACAACCCTTCCATCACTTCAGCCTCAAAAAGGGCAACCGCAACTTTTTCTCACATTGAGGATCATAGAGCGTAGCATCAAGTTCATGTGGAATTGCAATTGAAGATCATAGAGAGTAGCATCAGGTTCATGTGGAAATGCCAGTGAAGATCATAGAGCGTAGCATCAAGATCATGTGGAAATGCCAATGAAGATCATAGAGCGTAGCATCAAGATCATGTGGAAATGCCAATGACGTTATTATCCCACCCCACCCCACCCCAGACTATCGGATGCGGATGTGTGGAATTGCAATTGAAGATCATAGAGCGTAGCATCAAGTTCATATGGAAATGCCAATGAAGATCATAGAGCGTAGCATCAAGATCATGTGGAAATGCCAATGAAGTTTTTATCCCACCCCACCCCACCCCACCCCAGGCTACCGGATGTGGATTTGTGCGATGGTAACGAGTCCGTGGGCATAAACATTTACAAACCATAGTTGACCTAGTTACAAACCATATCGTATATAGATAGCTACGTTAATTATATAGATGTATCTACCACAAATCCTAGATAACCTATATACTTGTTTCATCTTGTTTCATCTTTTTTCACCTGACTTAGCTAGCAAAATCCCATGAAATCACCATTTCTGCAGCTAAAATATCTCCACAGAGTCGCATAGTGCTGGCGACCGCGGAACAACGTTGATGCAGTTGACAGGGCTGCAAGGTAGGAACGAAGTTGAACCAACACGGGTAGCTCATGACTAGAGGTATAAAGTGCATTGTATGGGATTATACTGTTGATGTTTAGAAATCACATTTGAGACGGCCTGAAATGTTGTTAGCTCGGAATTCAGAGGTTTTGGCTCTCGGAGCTCCAAAAGATTCTAGAAGTATAATGTTATTGGCTCTGCTCGAAATATAAGTCTGTACCCATAGGATCCATGTATGGTATATATGCTAACATTGGGGGTATATATAGATGGGATCCATGTTACCATATATAGATATATATAGCAGCACCATGGACCAATACATGGATCCTATGTTGTATAAGTTATTCCTATGGGGTATAAGTTATGATATCTTATGACCATTTGAAGTTACCAATAACTAACTCAGCGAATCACTCCATTGAAACAATTCCACCCAGATCAGTGGTGAGTTGCACCGCATTGAAATGGTGGAATGCCCGGTGATCAATGGCCGGAATTTTCAGAAGAATTCCCAAAAATGGACCATGAATTTACAGGATTTATCATCATCTGCAGTAAAATTTGCTAGTTGAAGCTGCGAGGTTGGATAATTCAGAAAACCTCCCAAGCCTGGAGGCAAATTCTGGATGGATTGCGAATCGTTACACCAAAATTTGAGGTCCCTGAAAATGAGTATAATCTGAATCACAGCTCGAAAATTGCTGATGTGGAAAAAGATTAGAGCTTCATCAAACCAACTCTACATGGATTCGATGATTATCGCGGTCGTTGGTTTGTGACTGTGGTTCGTTTTGATGATTCGATACCCTGCAGCCCTGTCGATATGGAGAGGACTAGCTTCACACCACGGAAAGGACTAAGCCTAGGCCCACCATCGGGCGGCTATAGCCAACATGCAGCGGTTGGTTTGTTGTTGACACGGTGATGCCCCAGTACGTTAGCTAAGCTGGATGTGTTCAGTAGGTTAAGTAGAAATTATGTGAATTATGATATGATTTTCCATAGTTATGTAAACGTTTACCAGAAGGTACTCTCCGGTGTCCTCAAACACGGCAAGCTGGGAAATCCCCATACTGAGTGAAGGTTCATAGGTTCGAAAAATCATCGAACTCAAGATTTTCCAGCACGCCACGTTTGATTACCGGAGGGTATATATCAATAGTTGAGGGGGGTATAAACCAATAAACATCATTGGGGAACATCACCTTGTACTTGCCAATGATGTGTCCAACATTGGAAGATTGGAGATATGTCATCTGTGTGCCCTGGCTGATGGATTTTGACACATAGAATCCCATCTGCAGATGATGAGAAAAACACATATCTTTCACTTAGAAAATATGGGCTTGTCTGAAAACAGGATGCCCCAAAAATTGATGGTATATAGATCAATGTTAGTTCATCATCATTTTTCGTAAAATACATTGTCATTTTGTGGTTACTCAATGTTCATCCATTTTCAGACAAACTTATATAATATATTTATATGGTTGATGGTTTCAACCCCTCTGAAAAATATGAGTTCGTCAGTTGGGATGATGTTCCATTCCCAATATGATGGAAAGTCATAAAATTCCATGGTTCCAGTCACCACCAACCAGTATATAATGTGGTTAAAACAATAATAAACAATCCCCCAGTCATCACCATAAATAGGTGCTATAAACCATTCCCAAATGGGTGGTTTATGACATTGTTTGAACCACATTATACCATAAACATCTACAAACCATAGTTGACCTAGTTATAATATACTAATAGGGGATGGTATGGGATGGCACGAACTGTTGTCCAAAAGATATTTATTCACTGACCGATGAAAGATCTGACAGTCACACTGGTCTCAGCCATCAAAATTACCCAGAAAACGAGCAAAGCAATGGATGAATTGAATGTTCCCAACAAGGTTCCCATGTGGGTTTCACTACCCTCTGGTAAACAAACAGGTTGCTATTGAAAATGGCCATAGGAATTATGGATTTACCCATTCAAAATGGTGATTTTCCATAGTTATGTAAACGTTTACCAGAGGGTAATTCCCAATTTGATACCTTTGCGATTTTGGTGAAAACAGCAGGTCGTTGACAACCGTTTTTTGTGATCCGAAGAATTGTCATAAACGATCCCTTCCTCTAATTCCTAAGCAGCCGCCAGGGACATTTGGAAGCTGTATCCGATCTGTTCGGAATTTGAGGTCCTACAACCTCATTGGTTATGGTTGGCTAGACTTGTAGATTTGGGGTCTACTGAGCCCAACGTTGCTCTAAACAAGTGGGTATTGTTTGCCATAGATACAGGATGTTAGAATGGTTGTATCCCAACCTATTGGGACTATAGCCCCGGTCATGCCCATCTATAAGCCCCAGGCACTTCCTAAGTGTACAAGCCACGTTAACTTATTCACTTAGGAGTGCACCCCAGTTAGTGGTTAATAACCCCTCTATGAATGTGGCAAATCCAACATATATGTGGTTTATAACATGGTTATTACCAACTAAGTAATTTGGACGCACATCTAAGCAGTAACTACACGTGGTTAACTGTTGTGACCTTTAAAAATGCACGGAAAAATACACCTGATGCCCAGGACATTCTCCTCCCTGAGTGCCAGACTTCATGGCCTTTGCTGGACCTGGGCATCCAAGCACCGGAATTGATCTACTGAAAAATGGGGGAGCCCCTTTCAATCATCTGTATAATCTATGTGAGCTTCTCCATCCCATCACCAGGGATTGGGGGGCATACCTGGGGTACCTGCAAGTGCTGAACTAAGTGAACTAAGTGGATATATTTCACCATAGGACCATAGGGGTTACCCCCCCAAATACCATGATTATATTAGTGGGATTTGCTTAAGGGGTGCCCAAACAACCACAAATCATCAGATATTCCCTATAGATCCCCCAGTCGTAGTGGATTTACCCCATGGGAAAATGGCGGCCCAAAAAAAAACGACAAACCGCTTAAATCCGAATGGATCGGACAGGACCAAGTCCACCCCCAAGTCATATCAATGGCCTTTTAGGCACCGGAAAAAAAGAGGTACCTATCACAAATGTTTGGCCCATTTTTTAAGTACCATGTAAGGGTAAAGGCTAAAAAAATCAGGGGATATGCCCATAGCCTACATACCCTCTGGCAAACGTTTACATAACTTGGAAAGATCCACCATTTTCAATGGGAAATCCACTATTTCTATTGTCATTCTCAATAGCTATGTAACAAATTACCCGAGGGTATATATCCCATAATATATCCATTATACCACTAGATTGTCATATTCAAATCCCCATTAGTTCCCATCAATCACCAAGATAAGCTTTTATAGTT